CCCCCCCCCCCCCGCATGAAAATCCTTGGTATGTGCCCCAAGCTAACCGCTCCTTGACTACTTACGCAATCCCTGCCCGAGATTTCATAACTCCCAACTGTTGATACGGGGAGGGGAACTGGATTTCTGCGAGGCAGCGGAACCCCCGCGCGGGGCTCGGGGAGGGCGTCGTGCATGCACGCCAGGCCTGGGCTCTCCGTGAGCTGTTTTCAAGAGAATTCCGTTGCCTTTGACCCGTAGCTCACAGCCAGAGCTCTACAGCTGCGGATTGAAGCCGCATGGAGCCCCAGTGCTAACCAGTGTACCCAGTGCTGTGCCAGGGTACACGTGTCCCAGCTCGTCAGAGATCACCCTGGTGCCGTTTAAACTCCCGCAGCTTTCTGATGGGTGGGCGCGGGTCAGGCCCCGGGTGGGTGGGGGCTTGCGCCCCTCTACAACGAGCTGCCCCTTTGCTCGCAGGTTTTAGATCTGCACAAGAACCAAGATCCGGAACCATGGCATCCATCCCATCGAGCGGCTCGCTCATGGCGACGCACAACTACCACAGAAGTAAGGGCACGTGCCCAGGACTGGGGTGGGCTCGGAGTGGTGGGTGAGCGGGCAGGATGCTCTGCCCGGTGTCGGCGGCGGGGGGGACGTGGCTCCAGCAGAGACAAAGCTGAGCTCAGGGGTGAGCTTTCAGCCAAAGCCCCAGCGAGAGCTGGCAGGCTCCTTGCTGAGATCGGGGGGGCCAGCAGCTGTCCCTCCTGCTGCTCGGACCCTCCTTTGGGCCACCGCAGCCCCTGCCCGGTTGTACCAGCTGGAGATGGGCCTTGCAAACTCCTTTTGCTCATTAGAAGGTTGTAGGTGAGGGGAGGTGACAGCTTCAAATGCATCTTGCACTGTTGCTGTGGAAGTGAGCTATAAAACCAGTCTGGACAACGGTAGCTAATGGTACTTGTCCAGGGGAGAGACGTTCTGGTTTAATGGATTGTCTAAACCAGAGGGAATTAAAAGTATTCCCCTTGAGCTGAAACTTGTAGCAGTTGGACTAAAACTCCATGGATTATATGCAGGAATCTGCATTCTCTTGGCCTCAAGTCATCTGCAGAGGCCTCCCAAGTGCTGCACGCAGCTACAAAGCCATTAAATAATGTCCGTGGGGTTGCAAGCGTTTTCCTACGGAGGTGTTCAGGTGCTTTTTTGCTACCTGCTCTTGGCCAGCTTGTAATCTCGGCAGTATTCCCTTCCTGGTGGCTTTTATTGACCTGGCACTAAAGCTGGGCAAGTACCGGGGGGGAGATGGCGATGAGCCGTGTCACCCCAGGGATGGCCACACCAAGGCTCGGCGTTGCTTTTCCTGGCACCACCGAGGGTCTGTGGTGGTCTGATGGCCATGATTTCTCCACAGGACGCCTGAGCTCCACATCCAGCAACAGCTCCTGCGGCAGCTCGGAGTACTCTGGGGAGGTCATCCCCCACCCCCCGGGTAAGTGCTGCCTGGCTCAGGGCTGCGGGGGGGGGGGTCTCTGCCCCCAGCCCCTCCACTGCAAATCTTACCGGAGTTGACCCAGCCTCTCCTGTGGGATGAGACTGGGGTGGTCACGGGGCTACGTGGGTTGCACTGACCTGGACCTTCCTTGGCACGTGCTGTCCCCCAGGTCTGCCCAAGTCCGACCCTGGCCACTGGTGGGCCAGCTTCTTCTTCGGGAAGACGACTCACCCAGCCATGACCACCGTGTCGGAGTCCCCGGAGAGGTGAGTGCTTTCTCGGACGGCCAATGCAAGACCCAGGGCAGTTGGGGACATCCCTGCTACGTCCCCTGAGGTGCAGCCTGACCCAACGGGTGACATCTTCATGCCCAGGGCACCGACTCTTTTGCTGCAAAAAGAAATGCAGAGCGCCAGCACGACGCCTGGGCATTGGCCTGACCCTCTCTCTGCTCTGTCTTGCAGCTCGGGAGCGCTGCGGGTGACAGCAGGACCGATGGCGTGTGGCCTGGTCCCAGGAGCAGGACGGCGGCGTCACGCCAGCGAGCCCAGCTCCGGGCCCTCGGCATGAGCGGGTCGGCGGCTGCTCCCCACGCCGGCGGGCACAGCCCCTTCCCCCCCTCCCCACCCCGTAGAGTAGGCAGGCTGCTCCGAGGCAAAGGTGCTGCTTTGTAATAAAAAAAGTGCAGTAAAACCCCCAACGATTCCCACACCAGCCTTTTTACTCTTTCTCGACGTAACTACGCCCTTTCCACGTGGACTCGGTAACACTTTTTATTTACCTTGTACTCATACAATGGCAACTAATAAAACTTGAGCAGCCTTTTAAAACGCTGCGGGTGGTTGTTCATCTGGGCTGAGAGGTGCTGCTGATGGTGGTGGGGCTGGACCAGGACACGGCGCAGCCCCTGACCCTCGGCAGCAGGGTCTGGTCAGGCTGGATGGCACCGTGATGTCAGTGTGACTCAGTGGTGCATGGGTTTTGCATGTGAGCAGGCTCTGGTTTGGCTGCAGGGATGCTGCAAATGCCTCCCCCACCCTTCCCTCACTTGGCTGCACAGCCTGTCCCTGCTGGCACTGAACTTGTTTTGCTCCCCAAGCACGTTGCTGCCCTGCCCTGCTCCAGAGCCTGGTGGGGTAGGAGTGCCTGAGCTGGGTCTGGGCAGGGCAGGGGGAAGTATTTGGGTGCAGAGTGAGCCCTCTGTAGTGAGAGGAGAGATAAGGCTGGCTCAGAGCTTGCATTTTGTGGGTCTTATGCCAGGCTGGAGCTCGTGGGGTGGATGGCAGCTCAGGGAGCGGGCTGGGCAGCTCTGGAGCCCAGCGGGCCTGTGTGCTGCGCTGCCCTAAGTGCTGTTTTGGCTGACTGTTACTTTGAATTAGTCATCTTGGCTGCTTGGCCCTTCTGTGATCGGCCCGAGAGCTGGGAAGTGCTGCTTGATAAAGCGCTGAGAAACCAAGAGCCTGCAGGTGCCTGCATGCAAGGGGGCAAGGTCCTGCTGGAGGCAAACAAAATCCTGGCAGGGGTTGATTTAGAGGTGCCAGATCTTCCTGCTCTGGTCTTCTGTCAGCCCCAGCACAAGGTCTGGGACAGTCTCTGCGTGCCCCAGGGCACCCCGAGCAGTGACTTTGTACCACCACGTCCCGTGCAGGCGGGGGCGAAGGGCAAAGCTGGGTTCCAGCAGCTCCCCACCGCCTACCCCTGCGAGCAGCTGGGTGGGAGGTGGCTGCTCTGCTTTTTGTCTGTCCTGCAGGGGCATCCAGGGTCACTTCCAGCTTTGTTCCTTGTTTCTGGTAGGAAAAAGTGCTGTGTAAGCTTTGCCCTGAGCTCTGTGTCTCCAGGCAGTGCTCCTTGTCCTCAGGGCAGAGGGTCTGTGTTGCCTCCATCCTTAGGGTGGGCTGGGGCAGCACTGGGAGCTCCGCTCCCCCCTGCAAGCGTGTGTGTCCAAAGGGCATGCTGGGGGGGGTTCCCTGTGACCAGCAGCTTTGGGGACACGGGTTGGGACCCCTGAGGCTGCCAGCACCCTGTGGGTGACCTCCACATCCACAGCATCACTGATCCGACGTGACTGCCCAGCAAACTGCTGGAGGGGCTGCACCCCTGTGCATGTGGTTGTGTATCGCAGGGAGTGTGTGGCAGCCTTTAAATGTCATAAACCACAAGAAAACCAAGAAAAAAAAAAATCCTGGCTGAGTAAGACAAGGCGAGGCGTGCAGGCTGGCTGGTGGGCTGGGGAGGGTGGCTACAGCACTGGCTCACACCAAGGAGCACTGCTCCAGGTTCTCCCCATGCCCTGGCAAACCCCTTCGGCTGCTGCTCACCCCCAGGATCCCTCAAGGGAGCAGTGGGGTTTCCTCTGCTGCTGATTGCCAGCAAAAGCCCCAGATTTTGGAGAAACAAACTATTTTTTTTCCAAGCCTACAGCCTCAGGGGCAGCGGATTGAAGTGTGGACACACAAAGGTAAAGTCAATATTGCCGTATTTGCTTGTCGGTCTCGTGATTAGGGCAGGGTCAAACCCAGCCGCTGTCCCCAGGCACCCAGGGGAGGCTGTGGCAGAGCAAAGGCACCAAGCCTGTGTCCCTGGTTTTCAGCTGGGCACTTTCCCCGGCCTGACCCAGCTCTGGGCGAGCTGCTCCGGCCACCTGCTGCGATGCCACCAGCACATCAATGCTCCTCCATCCTGGTTTTGGATGCTGCGTGGAGGTTAAGCTCATTCCCACGTTGCTGTGAGGCAGGTTGGGTTTATGGCACAGATCCGTGAGTTGCTGTCCTGATGCCAGTGGCTCCCTGTCCAGCGGAGCAAAACAGCCTGAAAAAACCCTGCGGAATTAAAGGGGATTTTTCTGAGTGGCTGTAGAGTCTTGCAGACTCAGACTCCTACTCTGCTGGGGTGAAAAAACGAGGAGAGCCCGTCCCCTGAGAGACTGTGGTCCCTCTTAGCTTCATAGCATCGCTGAGAGCAGAGACCTTGGCATTGCCTTGGTTCCTTGGGGTGCCTTTTGGGGTCTTTCTTGCCCCTTTGCAGCACTCGGGTGTGTTTAGGAAAAGCACCTGACAGCCAAGCACGTCTATTTTTGTGCTGTTCCCATCCCCGCTGCTGTGGGTGTCGGTCTCTTTTTCCCAAGTAACAACAGGATGAGAGGAAACGGCCTCGAGTTGTGCCAGCGGAGGTTTAGGTTGGTATTGGGAAAAATTTCTTCACCAAAAGGGTTGTCAGGCATTGGAACAGGCTGCCTGGGGAGGTGGCTGGGGCACTGTCCCTGGAGGACTTTAAAAGCCGTGGAGATGTGGCACTTAGGGATGTGGTTTAGGGGTAGGTTTACAGTTGGACTTGACGACCTTAGAGATCTTTCCTGACCTAAACAATTCTACGATTCTGGCTCATTTCCCATGTCTTGGGTCATCGTGCTGCTCGCTGTGGTGGGATAGCAAGAGATTTCCTTAGGTAACCGAAGTGAGACAAGCAAAGGGGCTCTTTATATCCTACACCCCTCCCTAAGCATCCCCCTTCCACTGCTCTCGGAGGGGCAAGCCCCCACCTCCTCCTCTGCTGCCCCACGGCTGCCTCGTGCTGCTTGACGAAGCGCCGTGTTTTGACTGTTGATTAACTCACAAATCTGGGCAAAAAACAGCCGGTGCTTTCTGCTCGCTCTCGGCCCTTGCAGGGGCCCTCGTGCCTCCCCGCCGCCTCGCAGGAGCTCCCACAGCAGCTCCAGCCTGAGAAATATTTCCTTTCACTCTCTGCCTCTCTCTGCTTCGAGAAATTTTTTTTTTTTTTTTCCATCAGCAGCTTTGCTTCCCCCTCACCCTTCAAAGGCCAATGTGGAACCTTAAAAATAGAAACAAAACCGTGCGGCTCAAATACGGTGCGTTAGCCTGACGCTGCTTCCAGATGCCGCTCTGACAAGTTGAATCCGCAAACGGGGCACATGCCAGGCTGAAACCAGAGCAGGCAAACACCTTGAACAGCAGCGTTTGGAATCCCCACGCAGGAGGGTTTTGGAAGGGGCTGGGGCTGTGTCAGCTCTGTCTTTGGGGGATGGATTTTTGGGAAAAGCTTGATCCATAAAGTGGCCCCAATTTTGGGGGTGAAGCTGCAGTGCCCTGTCCAGGATGAGATACTGGGAGAAAAATCTGGGTTTCCCCCAACTCTGCCTACTTTTAGAAAGTAGTGACTCAAAGAAAAGCCAAACTCCAGCAGGCTTTTAATGCAGCTGTAGAGGAGGAAGGAAGAGCTGCAGTGGGTAACGCCACATCCCCAAATGTCCCCCCGCACACTCCACGCCACCCATCGTGGCATTGCTCCAGCAGCCTGAGCTGCTCTGGGGCCACAGGTCTGATGGGGCCGGAGCGGGCAGGAGGGCAGCCTGCAGCCCTGCCACCTCCCCGAGGGACCCCGACCGTGCCCATCCGCTCCCCACGCCAACCCCATCGCCCCCTGCACACCCTTCTCCTCCTGCTTAATTTTGGGCTCCATCTGGTGGCAGCCAGAGCTGAAAATTTAATATCTTTATTGCTGCAACATCCCTGCCCTGTCTTAGTGTCTGATAAACCCATCACCTGCGGGACACGCTTCGGGCTTTAGTTTGTGGTAGGAGGGGACCCTGGGCTCTGCATGTGTGTGCTCCCAGCTGGGGCGTTTGATCAGCCAGCGAAATGTTGTGGGTTTTTTTGCAAGATGAGGGGTTTCCTCTTGCAGCTGCGTCCCAACCTGTTGCTTTTTTCCAGCTCTGAGCACTCTCCCCGGGGAGGGCACGGCCGCTGCTCCCCAGTGCTCGCCTCGCCCTTGCTTAGGCTTCAGCAGAAGTACGTCGGGATCTGGATTTATCACCCCCCCAAACCACGTTCCCACCTCCCCTTTCCAGGCCCCTCGTGTTTAATTAACAGCCAGACTCGTTTCTGCTCTTTTGCACAGCGCGGATGCTGCTCGGGCGTGCAGAGTGTCGCAGAATCTTTATTAATTTTACGTATTCCAGCTTTGCTGTTGTTTTAGTCGGACAGTTCACCCCCCCCCTCGAGCAAAATGGGTTTGTCAGGAGGAAATCAAAACCCACACAGGCCTGGCTGTGCCCGGCTGCTTTTCACCTGCAGCACATGGTGCCGCCTGCCACCCATGTGCTGAGTGTGTCAGTGCTCAAGCAGCCGCTGCTGCCCAAGGACAGCCCGGCCTCGGCGTGTGCACGGGCAAGGGGGGGGGGGGGGG